TCAGATACGTAAACATATTTCTTATTGGGTGATTATAATTTTTCGATTAATGTAGTTTTTAATAGGTTTCGTTTATTAAGGACATCTAAAAGGTGATTGAATCAGTTTATCAGTAACCTGAAGCAAAAATTTGGTGTGTTATATTGGTCAACATAATTTTTAGATAGATGTTTTTTTGATAAACCATTACGCAGATTTTGTTATTACAGTATTAAGTGATATGAAAATAACAACCAACAAAAAAAGAAAATTTTTTTTAAGTTCGATTTTGTTATTACAGTATTAAGTGATGTGAAAAAATCAACAAAAAATATTTTTTATAAGTTTACATATGAAATAAAAATAGAGTAATTATGTTGATTTGTAAAAGGAAGTATTATGTATCACAGTTTTTCAAATCGTTTGAATATTTTTAGGTAATGAACGATCAATTTGGCTCGGTTGAATAATATTGATTAGCTAATACTAATTTTTAGGCTAATTGGCGCATATTAAGGTGGATTAAAAAGTAACTATATACCTATTATATCGTTTATGTATCTTTATCGAAATGATAAATGAAACTTTAGTAGTATGATAAAGGTTTTGTGTCAGATAAATTCATGAACAAAAAAAAAAATATATTATTAAGTTTAATAAATAGAACAAAATAGCATATACAAATATCTCTTAATTTATTCTTTTAAATCTTTCGACCATGAATTTTCAAATCGATTTATATTCTAAGAATATGTCATTCTTATTTTTACTTGTAGTATTTGTTTTAATTAAATCATGTAACTTGAAAGTTAATGCTGCTATGTCATCGTATCATGAAATAAATGAAAGAGCAGAGATTGATAAAGTTACTAAGTTCGTGGATCCATTGATTGGTACACAAAATGGTATCATACCTCCTTATTATTCAATTCTCGTGTTATTATAATATTATTATTAATCATTATTGCTGAAATCTTCTTTTTAATAATATTTATAAAATTGTACAAAAAAAGAGGGTCATGTATTTCCCAATCCATGTCTTCCTTATGGAGTTGTAAAGGTGGGGTTCGATACTGATAATATAAAAGATAATCAAGGAGGGTAATGTACTAATTAATAATGATAGTAACTCTTGAATACTTAAACGAATTGTTTTATTATTATTTTTTATACTGGACCCTTGTAATTTGTTAAAACAGGTATACCGTTGATGGAAATATTACAGGAATAAGCCGTAAGCCTATGTGTAAAATTGATGGAATTAATCAATGACTTCAATACTAATATATGAAAAATTTAAAAAATAGATTTACATGTTAGTGGAACAGGAGGTAAAAAGACAACTTATTATCAGTTATGTTATAAATTTGACATATTGATTTTTATACTTGGATTTTTTAATTTCCGCAATTATACTTTATTTTATTCTTATAACCCAACATTCTATTCATTAAAAAAAGGTGAACCAAAATATGGTGTAATTTCACAATTTCCATTAACCTCTACCTCATTATATACTATCCCACTTCGTAATTACAAATCTTTACGTTCATTCGAACATTTCGAAGTCGGATACTCTAAATTTGGATTAGAAAAATATAATGTCACTGTTGAATTAACTGCTGCTAGAAGAACCGGTGTTCATAGATATACTTTTGTAAAAAACAAGCAAAAAAAAGCATTTGTACTATTAGATCTAAGCCATATATTGACACAAGGTGGAAGGTATAACAATAATTTACTATTATAATTATTGTATTCATAAAACCATATACTCTATCAATATATTACTTCTTTTTTTTCTTTATATTTTGATTAAATAGTTCACGATACAGAGGTGGTTCAATATACACTGTTTCCCCATCCCAGATAACAGGAGTGGGTCATTATTCTGGAGGATGGAATGAAGGTTCAAAATACACAGTATATTTTTGTTCTCAATTTAACAAAAATTCTAGTTCTTTCGGTACATTTTGGAAGAATTTTATAATTGAAAACTTAACCTTTCAAAGTTCATCTGACGTATCTTTTGATACACCTGCTATTGGAGCAGTTCTTGGATTTGATTTTAATGATGGTTAGTGTAAAAAGAATTTTTATTTTTATTTTTTTTTTTTACATGAAACATTTCATCATCAAAAGAGATCTCGATTGTTTGTATAGAACCACATGAATCAAATTTAGTCATAACATCACGAGTTGGAATAAGTTTTATATCTTCGAATCAAGCATGTAAAAGTGCACAAGAAGAAGTTCCAAATTTTGATTTTGAAAAAACTCGTGAATTGGCTGTTGATGCATGGGAAACCGAACTTTCAAAAATTAAAGTTGATGGTGAAGTTAGGAGTGATTTAAAAACCATCTTTTATTCTAGTTTATATAGAACAATGATTATTCCTAGTGATCGGTATGTGTCATATAATTAAATTATTTTTAGGATATGTGTCACTTTTTTTTCATTTATTATTGAATAAAATAGTACGGGTGAAAATCCGAAATGGTCTTCTTATGATAATGAAGGAAAACTTGTACCAAATTATGACGATTTTTATACATTGGTAAGCTTTCTTTTCAATGTATAATTTTTAAAATACAAAATCTCTAATCTCTATAGAATTAACTATATTAAACAAGTGGGATACATTTAGGTATGCATCATAAATTATACCTAATTTTCTCAACGTTAATATTTAAATCCCTATTAATTCTAAAATTTTAATTTTGATTTCAAATAGATCTACAATTCCATTGTTTACATTATTTCAACAATCCAGGGTAATTGACATTACTCGCTCATTAATTGATATATATCAACATGAAGGATACATGCCTGATGGTCGTAGCGGGATGTCAAATGGGATAACACAAGGTGGAAGTAATGCTGATATGGTTGTTGTAAGTATTTTTATATTTACCTAATTTACTTTTTATAACAGATAAATATTACAATTAGTGCTTTATGTTTTTTAATTATTATTTTAAAAGGCCGAAGTATTTTTAAAAAACCTTACCAATAACAATAAAATCAACAATTCCTTAAACTGGACATTAGCCTATGAGGCATTGTTAAAAGATGCGGAAGATGATCCATGGGAACGAGGAATTTTTGAAGGAAGAATGTTTTTATTGCATTACAAAACATTAGGATATATTCCATTTCCTACACATAAAATGTTGAGTTATGCATATGTACCTTGTAGCAGAACTATAGAATATTCAACTAATGATTGGTCTATTGCTTTGGTTGCCAAAAGTATGTTTAATAAAAATAACAAAATATGTGATAAGAAATTTTATTTGATAAATTTTTTTTTTTTCGATTGGTATGTAGAATTGAATAAAGATGAAGATTACATAAAATATCAAAGTCGTGCCAAGAATTGGGAAAATTTATGGTATCCTAATAAGACCATTAAAGGTACTTACAGTTTTCTACTTAATAATAATAATAATAATAATAATAATAATAATAATAATAATAATAATAATAATAATAATAATAATAATAATAA